AGGAGATACGTTCGATCTGAAGTTCTTATCAATTCGTATTAAAATCTTTTTCAGCCGAAATAAAAAAGCGGATTATTTGATTTCACGGTGCGAGAGGCGAGTACAAAAGTGAAGGAAATAATGAAATATATGTAGAGAGAGAGAGAAATGTAGAAATGTTCTTTGTGAATGCTTTTTAACACCGAGATTGAAAGTGCTCGTTAACGAGATTTTCTTTGTCGGATCCGAAAGGGTTGAAAGAACGAAGGTTCTTCTTCTATTATTGTTTAGGGTGAAATTCGTCGTTAGGATGGGTATTTCGATCGAGAGTTGTCCAGGAAGACGAGCCTTCCGGAAGGTTTGCAGATTGAAAAAAAAGTTGTCCACCAAGTTTACGAGCGAGTTTGCATGATTGCATCACGAGCCGAGGGTATTTACGTCTCGATTACTGCTCGTGTAAGAGGAGCAATATGTCTCACTTTCGAGCGTGTAAGACACGTATCCTCTTGATTACACTTTATCTCGTCCACCCACGCCGTCGATATTAAGACGAACACGCGTTGCCACGTGCATCTAGCGGTGATACAATGCTGGCTAGCGATTCTAAGAACAATCTGACCAGATATTACGATATCGAATTTGTTTAATCCTTTCCCAAAAAAAAAATTCGTGATTTTTCGACACCTTCGTTGTAACTGTGGTCTCGTAAAATTCCAATTCTACGAGCAATCTGACGAGATATTATAATATCAAATTTACTTAACCCTTTTCTAAAAAAATTAGTGACTTTTTGTCATTTAAATTTCGACACCTTCACTCTAACTGTAGACTCGTAAAATTGCAATTCTTCGTGCAATATGATTATTTAGATATTGCAGTATTAAATTTATTTAGCCCTTCGTTAAAAAATTCGTGATTTTTCGTGATTTAAATTTCAACACCTTTGCTCTAACTGCAGTCTCGTTAAATTGCAATTCTACGAGCAATCTGACGAGATATTATAATATCAAATTTACTTAACCCTTTTCTAAAAAAATTAGTGATTTCTTGTCATTTAATTTTCGACACCTTCACCCTATCTGTATTCGAACAATCTGACCAGATATTGTAGTATAAAATTTACTGAACCCTTTCTCAAAAAATTCCTGTTTTTTCGTCACTTAATTTTCGACACCTTCACTCTAACCGCAGTCTCGTGAAATTGCAATTCTTTGTGCAATCTGACGAGATATAATATCAAATTTGTTTAACCCTTTTCAAAAAAAAAATTCGTGATTTCTCGTCGTTTAATTTGCGACACCTTTGCTCTGATGAGTAATCTGACGAGATATTGTAACATCAAATTTATTTAACCCTTTCTCAAAAAATTCCTGATTTTTCGTCGTTTATTTTTCGACAACTTTGCTCTAACTGCAGTCTCGTTAAATAGCAATTCTACGAGCAATCTGACGAGATATTATAATATCAAATTTACTTAGCCCTTCCCCAAGAAAATTAGTGACTTTTTGTAATTTAAATTTCAACACCTTCACTCTAACTGTAGTCTCGTAAAATTGCAATTCTTCGTGCAATATGACTATTCAGATATTGCAGTATTAAATTTATTTAACCCTTCGTCAAAAAATTCGTGATTTTTCGTAACTTAAATTTCGACACCTTCACTCCAACTGTATTCGAACAATCTGACCAGATATTACAATACCAAATTTACTTAACCCTTTGCCAACGAATTCACAACTTTCCACAATTCATTCAAGATAAATGAAACTTCAACACCTCCAAATTCAACTACAGTCTCAATTTCCAAACCTGAAGATCACCAAGTATTTACACCTTACTAATTTAAATCTTCCAATCGAACTTCAATAAGTTCAATTATCCATCGACCTTCGCACCTCCCAAAAATTCCAAACTCTCCAAGCCACACTTTCTCAACTATCCTCAACTTGAAAAATTCCAGAAAGTCTCTCTCGTTCCCGAAACTTGCCAAGAATCTCCAAGTTCCATTGATGCACAGATTCGCGAAACGCGCAGTATCGGAGTCGACGAGTGTCCGGTAACGGGTGATAAAAGCAAGAAAAAAAAGAAGGTGCGAAGAGAGAAACAACGTCGTAAGGGTAACGAGAGGAGGTTGACTTACAACGAAACGTCGACCGTCGCGAAAAATTTTCGCGCGGTCTGCAGAATGCGTTAACGGATTCCGACACGAGCGAGAGGACGATAAAAATTTTACTCGTTGCGCCTCCTCCGTCGCCGCTTCGATTATCGCCCGGCCCAAGAAATTTCCCGATATTGCGATAATAAAGACGATACGCGTGCCGCGAGATTAAAGGAACCGAAGAGAAGAGGAAAAAAAAAGAAGAGTCCAGGTCGGCGTCAGCAGCGTGTAACGACGATGAAATTTCTCCAATCTGCTAGAACGATGCCGGATGATGATCAATTAAAAGGAAATTATGCTGGTGAAACAAATTTCCCGTCGAGAAGAAACAACGGTGCACGCAGTGTATATTAAATGTTTGGCAAATTGAGGAACATTTTGTACGGGGTGAGCTGGATAAAGTGCTCCAAGCTGTTTCCTTTGAAATCACTGTACAGATCAATTTGAACATTTTTTTTTTGCTTTTCGCGTTGCATGGGACAGGAAGAGATAATTAATTAGGGTGCGACGCTTACTTGAAAATTTTGATTTTATTAAAATTTATAATTTTAATCAGTTGCGCTGGCAGCCAATTCACGCATGCCCAAATGCTACGCTGTAATTGGACGTGAGCTGCAACTTGAAACGAGAAGACTCGGCAGAGTTCAAATTTCATCTACTTTACACAGATATGTGCACTAATTTTGTACAGAGCGATACGTCTCGAAACAGTCTGGGATGTGTAATGCAGCAAGACGATGCTTGCATTCTGCGTTCTTTTGTTTCTTGCACGTACAGTCTGTTCCACAAGAGCGATATCTCTGTGAAGATGAATTCTTTCTGTAAGAAATTTTATATACACCGAAAGTACAGTAAGCAAAGTTTCAGGTTTCGAAAATATCGCCGTCCACGCTCTCGTGATACAGACTGTACTCTACATCTTCTTTTCTTACAAACTTAAAGAAGAAAATTTCTCATAAGTGAAAAAAGATAACCGACGATTCACGTGTCTAACACGTCGTTGGCAATTCTGGGACAAAAACATCTGCGTGGCACGTCTTTCCAGCGCAAGTGGTTAAAAAAGATCTACAGATTTATTCAAATTTATAATTTTATCATTTGAAAAAAGAATTTGTAGATTTATTAAAATTTTATAGATTCGTTTAAATATTTATTTTATTTTTAGTAAAATTTCGATCAATCTATAAATTCCTTTTATCCTGCATACTTAAGGAGTTGCGACGAAGGGCACTTTTGTCCAGAGAAATTTCACAGAGGCGTCGAAAAGTAATGAAAATAAATAGAAATTTTCAGAGTAACATCGTTAGACTTCTAAAGATCTATCAAATTTTTCACGAACGTTGACGAGAACGAACAAGCTTTGCATCTGTAATAGAGATGCAAATGAGGGGTATTTATAAATGACAAGTCACAGTTGCGGTGCAGATTACAGTCACGCTGCGATAAAAGAAGAATTCTACACCTTGTCAATTTGCATTTCATCGCTAAATTCAGATTCAATTGAAATCCGACGATTACAAAACAGAAATTGTACACAATATTTCTTTTTCTACTCAACACTGTATTAAAACAGCGAACAGTGCACGTATTAAAAAACCCAAAGGCGAAATCCTAAGTGTCGCGTTTCAAGTTAACTTAAAAAAAATAGATCTCTGCAAACACTTGCAGGGCGACAACGTCCACGTTGCAACGAAGATTTCAATATTGAATTCGATAAGTGATTGTGCGATACGATTTATCGAAGGCACATCGGCGACACGTGAGAACAGATGAAATACGGTGGAGAGAGTAGGATAAAACCGCACGGCAGAAATTGAGCAGAATAAACGAAAGACCTTGACTCGTTCGCTGCGCTTGAAACTTGTTAATGGCGAGTAATTAACGCGGCGTATAATCGTCGACTGTTCGTGATGCGCCGTTCCAACGACAAAGGGGCCTAATGAAACCAAGTTAAACTCTCTCCCGAGCGTCGATTATCGACGATCGTTTCCACCCTGACGTCGAATCGCCGAAAGAACCGTGCGAAAAACTGCCCGACTTTAGTTCCCGCCAAAACTGCGCACCTTAGAAATTCCGAATTAATCAGCTTGCCAATTGAAGGCCTCGAATCGTTGCCAGCTACGGTAAACTCGTCAACCGGGGAGAAAGTGTCTTTCTTAAAGAAAAAAATTCAACACTTGGAAACACCTCGAATTTTACACTCGATCGAATGTTGGGTGAAAAGAGGAAAATCTGACCGAGTTTTCCCAAAAGCGTTCGCCGAACTGTGCACATTTAAATGCAGAATAATTATCCGAAAAAGTGAAGGCATCGAATCGCCGATAATTATGGTAATTACGGTAAATTTGTTAGTCGAGAAAAGCGTTGGCAAAAAAAAACAAACTTGCACAGTTGAGAACACGTCAAATCGCAAAGTTAATTAAGCGCTGGTAAAACGAAGAAAGTTCAATGCTGCTCGCTCGTAATAAAACCGCGACTGTTGCATATTTAATCGTTCCGCGAAATATCCTCGGCGGCATGCAAATATGTTCGAAGAAAAAAGAGCTAATAATAATCTTGAAATGTGTGTCGCTAACGCGTGCGTTAATATCGCCGATTCTCGATCGCGGGGAATTGAAGAGGATCGCGATGGAAGAGGTGATTCGATCCAGGAAGGAAAGGAAAGATGAAAAGCGCTAAAGAGAGAATGAAAATCTCGCGAAGCGTGACAAGCGACAAAAACCGATCGATCGTTCATATTCGCGGTTACCCGCCGCCGTTACTTTCGCTTTTACCGCATGGAAAATCGTCGTTTCCTCTTCGTTGATGAAAAAAAGAGAATGGGAAAAAACAACTCTGAAAATATCGCTGATAATTCACGTACCTTTGAATACACCGGTCACGTGGTCGGTCCTGTTGATTACTCGAGGAACGAGGATGTAGATCCTCCAAGATCCAGATTTCAGGTAGGATAGGGCTATCGTGAAGTTGGTTCTGCTTCGATTTTCGAGAACACCCGATCAACTGGTCGCCTGCGAATGAGAAAGACCTTGGAAACTCTGGTTGTTAGATTCCGAAGGCGATAATTTTCGCGAGTAGGATCAAGCTTGCGCCTTGTAACGTCGATTACGATCAACGTACACAGGAAACTGGATGTATTTTGACTCTTATTTGACTTTTGAAGTCTACACGAAAATTTCGTGCACTGCCAATGGTTGTTTTACCAATTTGGAACAATTTATTATCGACGCAATTGACAAAGAAATTTACAAAAAAGGCTGTGAAATAAAAATTCCAGGAGAGCTAACATTTTTTATTCTTTTATTTTTTATCATCGAGGAAATGTATGAAAACCTACTTTCCACATGTTTCAAAGTTTTATTCATTAAGCAAAAAAAAAGAAGTTCCAAGTCCAACGACTTACAGCCTTTTTCATGCTTTTTCTACGATTTCCCTTGGGGAGGTTGAACTTTTCGTTCGACAATGTTATCCGACGACTTAATCGCGACTGTCTCGAGATTGTTTCGAGGCTGACTGTATAGAAAAGTTTGAAACACGGTGGAAGAAGAACGCTTTCCCGATAAACGGAGGAAGGTGGTGGTTGAGCTGGTAGCATTTAAACAACGCTCAACCAGAGAGGCGACCTTTCCAGCTTCTCGATCTTCCATCCAGCTGGAATATAATCGCGTGGCAAGATGCACCGCGACTTTCACGAACTCTTTCAATGGTGCAGCTATGTAGCCCTGTCTAATCGAGTCATTATGCAACTGGTAATACGTGGCTCCGCGCGAATGACAAAGCTGTTCGATGACGCTCGTCAGCCGGTAGAATATCTCCTCTTAGATTTGCTGTTCTTTAAAGAACGCTTTTGGAAAGGAAAGTCTTAGATCGTCGGGGAAATTCGCGCCGATTTTTGATAAGCGGTGCTTGAATATTTCGGAAGAAATGAAAGTCGACGAAAACATACAAAGTTTGTATTATTTTTTTCAAATGTTTTTTCGAAAAAGGCAGAGTATATTTGCGACACTGAGTATTGTGACGAAAGGAAATTTCGTATGCGAATCAAAAATTTCTCTGGAATCCTCGAAAGGTTATTTTTCTTTTTACCAGGAATTATAATAGTTTGAAGACGGAGGAATAAGTGAAATAAAAATTTCTCTCAGGTCCTCGAAAGATTATTTTTTTCGAGTATTTTAATAGACTATTCCAGGAATTACAATATTTTGAAGATGGGAGGAATTAGTGAAGTAGAAATTTCTCTGAAATCCTCGAAAAATTATTTTTTTCAAATATTTTACTAGTATATTCCAGGAATTATAATATTTTGAGATAAAAGGAATTGGTAAAATAAAAATTTCTCCAAAAATCAAAAAAAGCAAAAATTATTTTTTTCAAATTCACTTCTTACAATCACTAATCTATTCCAGAAGTTATAACATTTCGAAGATGAAAGTAATTATCGAACTAAAAATTCCTCCAAAATCCCCCACAAATTCTTTCTACACCCCGTGCACCATATTCACCTGTACACCTAAGCTTAAAAAAAAAAACAGAAAAAAGAGAAAACGAAAAGAAGGAAAGTAGGTATAAATCTCTGGAAATAGTAAATCTATGAACTATATAACTGGAAGAAGCAAAAGGCATTCGGAACACGAAGTTAAAAAAGCGGCGTAAATCAGCTCGTTTACACGTGGCAACTCAAAAACTTCTCCCAGGTCAGAGATTGGACGATTTACGAGGCGCGAATTTATCGACGAAATACTTTTTCCCCGGTCCGCACCAAGGAGTTTCCTATCTTCCACGCTCGTTAGATCCTCTCTACTCGATGTCTCTGTACCGGGGAATTACAATACGACGTGGGAGCACACGGGCTACGTCCGAGCCTTATCACCACGCAAACACTGTGCAATTACCGTCATTACGCAACCAACCACTCGGTTCTCCACCTGTCGGCGTTAAAAATCCGCGAAGAAGCGGCTTTTCGCGTGGAACTGCGGAGTTTATCTCGATTGAGACGAGGTAATTGAGACACCTGTTTCCCACCTGAAAACCTTCTCCGCTACAAGCCACCTTTTCGTGTCGAAACAACGAAAGTTTACTCGACAAACAGATTTTTCTATTACATATTTAATTGGAACTTAATTCACTCGAGTTTATTCTGAAATTAATTAGATTAAAGTTTCTTCTGTACGATAGCTGAGACAATGAATTGCGATAAGTGTATCTATTTGAAATTGCATCTACGCAAATTGTTTATTTCGAAATTTTTGCTGAAAGAAGAAAGACAGGCTATCGCGTTGAAAATATAGAATTCGACAGTACAATTCGTGGATTCTCTTATGGAAATATTCGATTCACATTTTGTCCACATTACGGATAAGATTACAGATAAGTGTGATCGCGTATCTCGTCCGAAATTGCCCCCATTTCCCCCCGAAATTATTGCACATCGACCGTCCATCGTTACACCGAGTTACAAAGAATGTCGCAGATTTATGTAACTTCACGATTTATCACTGTAACGAGCGATTACGTCAGGAGCAAACAACCGGCGAAGTGGCTGTGCAAAAAAACCATCGATCGGGAATTATAACGCGGAATGACAAACAGGTAGCTTTCGAACGATATCGATCTCTGATCGGGAACATCGGAGAAACACGCAACGTCACACGTGTACACAGTTCTCACTCTCGATAAACGTCGATAAACGTTATCTGCATCAAAACAAATAAAAACTGCTGTATAAGAAAGAAGTTCGATAATCAATTATACCTGTTTTCCGATGTAAACATTCGAGGAGAAATCCACGCAGAAAAGTTCTTC